TGGTCTTCACTTTTCTTCAAATGTAGAAGAAACATGACGAATTTGGCCCTTGGTTAAAATAACAACAAAACCCCACACACCACACCACACACATAAACCACACACACACCACACCATACACCATACACACTACACATACACACACACCACACACATACACCACAAACACATACCACACACACTACATGTACACATACACCATACACACACACATACGCACAAACCACAACACACACACACGCACACACATACACACAGGAGTTTGGTTTTTCCCAATGTTCTGCCCTGGTAACTGTAGCAACTGTTGCCTTTGTATTTCTATGCTCCTGGAGTTAGTGCTCCTGTCTCACTCATCTGCCCATGTCCCTCGGGTACCACAGCTCTATCTCTGTCATGACCCTTTGAAGGCACTTTAATGAGTGTGATACTCTCTACAAATTGGCTGGTTCCATAGATCATTAACTGGATTCTTGCTTCTAAACATCGCTCTGCCAGCACTCTAAGAAGCCACCACATTCTTGGTGCCTTCAAGCTATTTCTTAATAGTCCATTCATGAGTGAGTGTTGAAACCACTACCTAGCTGTTTCTGTGCCTCACAAGCATTTCTGTGTAATACTGAGTCCTTATGACTCATAGTTTGTACCAAAACTCACAGGAGAACAGCACAGTCCTTCAGCTGTTTCTTCCAGACGGCAGCTAAGAGCTGCCGATTTCAGGGATTGCTGTCAGGCTTGTTTTCCTAGACTCCACACTGGGCTCCCCCACTGTTGTTGAGAAGGCTGTGAACATGTTCTGCAGAACCATATCCAAAGGCCACTGCTGAAGGGATCTGTTACCCTTTAGCTGTCCTCCATCTTTTCCTGCTTTCTTGTTTCTGTGAGCAGAATACTCACCTCTATCGCACTGTCCCATTCCCAAGGCTAACAGTCCAGACTGCCTTGGACTGAAACCTTCGAAACCATGTGCCAAAATAAGCTTGAGCTCCTCTCCACTGATTCAGGAGCTTGAGTGCACAGATGCACAGCTGACTAACACAGTAGCAAAACAATTCAGAGAGGAGAGAAAAAGATAAAACAGAATAATACCTGGTAACATCATTTAATGATCACGACAACCTGATGTATTTGACTATTCAAATAGCAATTTAAGAGGTTAGAGAGATGGCCCCATAGCTAAGAGCACTGGCTGTTCTTGCAGAGGACACAAGTTTGATGCCCATCACCCATATAGCAGCTCACAACTGCCTGTGATTACAGTTTCAGAGGATCCAAAGCCACCTTCTGGATTTTTAGTGGCCAGTATGAATGTAGTGCAGACATGCATTCAGGTACATATATGGGCACATAAAATAAAAATAAATTAATAAATATGAATTTTAAGAAAAAATATTGAGTGATCCAAGAGATAACCTGGTTTTCAAATTCTATGTTAACTGTAATATTTTTAAAGAATGTATATAGGCAAGAGAGTGAAAATACTTAGAAAAGGCTATGAATTGTCAATCAAAATTAAACTAGAATCTATACTTTAAACAGTATTGGGCTGGAGAGATGCTTCAGAGGTTAAGGGCACTGACTGCTCTTCCAGAGGTCCTGAGTTCAATTCCCAGCAACTACGTGGTGGCTCACAACCACCTGTAATGAGATCTGATGCCCTCTGCTGGCGTGTTGGAAGACAGCTACAGTGTACTCACATACATAAAATAAATAAATAAACCTTTAAAAAAATAAATAAACAGTATTTCTAGATACGGTAGCACACACACTTGGGAGGAAGAGGCAGAAGGATCTCTGTGAATTTGAGGTCAGCCTAATAATCTACATAGTAAGCTCCAGGTCAGCTGGACCTACATAGTGAGACCCTGTCTCAAAAACAAAACAGACAAACACCAGTCACTATGTAACAAGACACAATATTCAAACATTTTCGTTAATATAAAAAATTAATATAAAACCTCCCAGCAAGCTGGAGGATGTTGGCACACATCTTTAACACTTTAATCCCAGGAAGGGAGAAGCAGACACATCTCTGAGTTTGAGGCTAACCTAGTCTAAACAGCTAGTTCCAGGACAGAGAAACCCTGCCTGGAGGAGTGGAAAAAAACTGCTTTCGCTAATGTAATATCACATGATCAATAAAATAAGATTACAAATCATAAAAATCAGTCAATATTAAAAGAAATATGAGCCCTTCTTTATATGGTTCTTTGTGCTATGTAGTCTGAAAATTTGTTGAGTTAGTATTTTACTATATTCCTATAACTTAAACCCTCTTCCTAGCAGCTTAGTGTTCTGACTTATGATTTTGATGAAAACCCAGGGTCATGGGTTTTATTGCAGGAGAATGGGAGTGGCAGCAACCTCAGCCCACCCTCACTCACTTTCCAACCCAGGAGAGGGACAGGGAAGGCTGTTGATCCAGCAATGGGTATGCTGACAAGAGGAGCTGTTCAGAACCCATCACCAAGAATGACGGGAGCAAGACCAGGAACACAAACTATATACAGAGACTGGAGCTTCTGTCCCAAACCCTCCTGAGCAGGGATGCCAAGCAAGACAGAGTGTGGGGTCCAGCATCCTCTACCAAGGCTTTCTCAGGAATGAACACGTCAATGTCTTCCTTCATAACCAAGTTGGGAGTGAGCTGTTCCTGGGTCAGAGTTAAAGTGGCCCACGTGCTACAAGTGCTCCTCCTCAGTCAATGTCCTTGCTGTCACAGGCAATACTACTGGGGTGTGATGCAGGGTTCTCTCATCAGCTCAACGTTGGGATCTTGCCACACAGGTAGTTGGAGATATTTCCCTTCTTTTTTCTCTTTTCTTCGTGTTGCCTGAAAGAAGAGCTCCTCTCTGACTGGCACAATTTGTCCTACTTGGCTCAGTGCAGGCCTGCTGGGCCCAGATCCTTATCACCCTCATGGTTCTTAGGACAGTGTTCTTATTCCTCTGTTCCTCTCCTTCTCCCTCTCTCTGCCCCTCTCCCTGCCCCTCTTCCTCTCCCTCTTCTGCCTCCCTCCTCCCTCTCCTCTTCCCTCTTCCTCCTAATCCCTCCTCCTCCTCCCTTCTCCCTGTTCTTCTCCCTCTTTCCCTCTCCCTAACTCTTCTTCCCCTCCCTCTCCTCACTCTCTCCCTCTCTTCCCTCCCCTTCCCCCATCAATAGGAGTGCGGCTCACTCTATTGATGGATGCACCATTCACCAATACTGTCTTAGCACTTCTTCCTAGCAATGCAAAGGGCACTAAGGATATCATTCTCAAAATTGAGTCACTGTTCCTTGGCAAAGCAATAGGCTTGCTGCAGATTGGCTATGGCCTCATCATGATTCTCTATGTCTAGCTGGCACTGCCCCAGGAAGACGTATCCCTTCACAGACTGCTGGCCCACCTCCTGGGCTTGCCAGTAGTGAGCAAATCCTGTTCAAGTGCCTCCATCTTCAGATACCACATGCTGGGTTGGTGTAATATAAGTCACAAGTGAGTTCCAGTCTGTGGGTCCTTGTGACCCATGGAGAGCCAGTCCCCTGCTCTTTGAGCTCCTGTGCACTCAGCTATTATCAGCGCCTGGCACTGCATTTTGTAGGCTCTCTGCCTCACCACTCAGCTCCCACAGTCAGAGTACCTATCCACTTGGCCAGGTCTGGCACTGAGTGATTGTTAATACTAAAGAATAGCACTAGGACTGGGCGCTGATGGCACACACTTTTAATCTCAGCACTCAGGAGGCAGAAGTAGACGGATCTCTGTGAGTTCAAGGCCAGCCTGGTCTATATAGTGAGTTTCAGGACAACCAAGACTACGTAGAAAGATCTCATCTCAAAGAAAGGATGGAAAAAGAAAAAAAGGAAAGAAAAAAGGAATACCACTGGGAAATAGAGAGATGGCTTAGCAGTTCAGAGCACTTGTTGCTCTTGTAGAGAACCCTGGTTCAGTTCCCAGCACTCATACAGTCGCTCACAACCACCCATTCCTACAGTTCCAGAGGATCCAATGACCTTCTCTGACCTCCGTGGGCCCCAAGTACACTCATGGTGCCCACACACACAGTCAGGAAAACCACTCGTACACATAATATAAAATAAATAGACCCATTAAAAAATTTAAATAACACTAAGACTGAAGTCACTTAAGTGGTGTGATTATAGGTAAGGAATTTAAGGAGAGTACTAAAAATTTCAAAGAGCAAACCATACCTGTCCTGGTGAAACACTGTGTGTATATTTGCACCCTTCTCTATTAAAAGTTCCACAATCAGGTCTTTGTTTTGCCGTAGAGCCAGTGAGAGTGGTGTGAAGCCCTCCTGAGAAACAAACAAAAATAATTTACAGCGTGTGAAACGATGTATTTCTCAACTGAATGAAAAATCATTTTAAAACAACACAGGTAACTTCCTCTGCTTCCAGCTGCACTCCCCCAGGCTGCTCCTTCTTCCAAACTAACCCTCCCACCCTGCCACCCCACCCCCCCACCCCCGCTCCTGTCAATGGGGCCAAGAATCTTCACTTCAGTGTGGTTGTGTGGTTTTTCCCAAGAAAATTAAGAGCTTCTTGAGGACAGGGGTACAATCTTTTATCTTTTATCATCTCCATTGCCCTAACCCTAAAACATGGTAGCAAAGGTTGGATGAGTGAGCTAACTTGTCTTCTCTGGAGCAGAATTTCTTTAGTCTGTATTAAAAAAAAAATGTAGTTTTCCAGAAGCACCACAGAGACTAAAACATCCCCTTATTATAGAACTAGAATTATAGATCCAGTATTAAAGAAATCCCCTTGTCTTAAACCCATGCTTGACAGAACTTTAGTGGGGAACACCGACTTTTGAAGAAGGGCTTCAAGGATATAGTGTTCAAAGCTTTCCAGTTTGTTTGCACCAGGTTAGAGAGGAAGGTCATCTGAGTCTCTTCAATCTTAGGTGGCAGGAACCAGATACCATTGTCAGGTGATCTCCAAATTTCCTCCCAAAAAATTGTTTTCAATTAAAAGACAGTTTAATTAAGTTTTATTGCTTATTGCTATTAGAGGCAAGATTTGTGTCTTAGCAGTTCAAACCTCAGTATAAAATTTTATTCTTACATATAACAATTCATAGCAATATAAAACTCTACATTTTAGTAGCTAATGTCATTTTTTATTCTAGGCAAATTATAAGCCAGAAATAAATACCAGTTAATCAATAAAATTCTAATACTGACCCCCTGAGTGGTCAGGTTAGCTTCAAGAGAGCAGCAGGCCACATAAGAAGATACTAGGGGCCACCATTACCCTTTAGGGTTTTCTTTTATGGGGTTCATAGAAAGAGTAGCTTGGTTACTAGAAATGTAGTAAGAGTGACTCTCTGGTTTCATTAATAAGCTAGGACATCTCTGAAGGGGTGATATTTATAAAATGGTGCCCTATCCAGCTTCTTCCAGGGCAGCCACCATGTTCCCGCCCCAGGCCCTGTCACCCACAAGACACTAGCGTAGGAGATGGCTCTGCCAATCTGCCATGCGGCATCCACAAAGCTCGGCTGAACCCCAGACAATATCTGCCATTCTCACACTATCCAGTAGAAGTGAGACCCTTAAAGCTTAATAATTATCTAAAGGATTTATATATTTTAAAATGCTCAATCAACAAGATGCCCACACAATTAGAGTTGTTACCCAATATCTAACCTTTTGATAGAAGTTGCTACCCAGGACAGCTTTCGACCCATCTGTGGTTCTCCATGGCTGATAGCCTCCTTCTTCCCCTCCCCTTCCTCTATTTCTCGCTCTCTTCCTCTTTTTCTCCCCTCCCCTTCCTCTGTTTTTCTCCCAGCTCCACCTCCTCTTCTACTGCCTAATCACTGAGCTCCACTGCAAATACAATGTAGCAGAATAAGTATCCTGCTACACATCTCTAGTTTCAGTATTTTTTTTTTTTTTAGCCAAACTAAGAGTTCTGTCTCCCCAGTTGAAGAGCATTTTCATCTGCTCATATAAACTTGGGAAAATTAAACAGTCTCTTCTTTATATTTTCTTCTATATCAGGTTTGCACATTTGCCTGCAGGCCTCTGATTATTACTCTAGTCCCATTTTCTCTGACTCAGCCTCATCTCTGAGACACAATTTCCATTTATTATAAAATCCTCTTTTTCAGTCATAAAGCCCAATAATAAGAAATGTTTTTCTTGTGTGGTTTTACACTAATTGCCAAAAAAAAAGGCTTTAGTGAAGAGATATGCAAAATATTTTTACCTTTAGCAAATGTAGTGTTCCTATAACTCTTTGCTATGAATCCACGGAAGAAACCTGTGAAAGCCTCTGAAAACCCTGTGAAAGTATCCATACCTTTGATAATTAACTCCTTTAAAGCATTTTCATTCAGTGAATGCCTGAGCTACTGTGGCAGAAAATGGAGCCGTGTCTGCCATTATTTTATAAAAGCAATATATTAGGAGTGGGCTGGAAATCGAAGTGAGTGGTTCTTTTTTTTTTTACCTTTGTTGTAGCTTCGATATTTGCACTGTGTTCAAGGAGCTGGGAAACGATGAATGCGTTTTCACCGAGCACTGCGTAGTGGAGGGCAGTGTTTCCGAGACCGTCCACAGCATTGGGATCGGCACCGTGCTGTAGCAAGACAGCCACACAATCCAGATGCTGGTGCTGTGAGGCCTATGGGGTTTACATAAGTAAATAAGTCATCGGTTTAACTAAAAATAAACATTCCACAGCTTTCATCAATTACTTCTCATTAAATGAGATACTTTCTTTAAAAAAATAAAAAATAAAAATCTCTTGTTTTGGGGCTGGAGAGATGGCTCAGCGGTTAAGAGCTGACTGCTCTTCCAGAGGTCCTGAGTTCAAATCCCAGCAACCACATGGTGGCTCACAACCATCCATAATGAGATTCGATGCCCTCTTCTGGTGTGTCTGAAGACAGCTACAGTGTACTCATAAATAAAATAAATAAATCTTTAAAAAAATAAAAATCTCTTGTTTTGCCCGGCAGTGGTGGCGCACGCCTAGATAGTCTAAGTAATTCTTTGAGAATCTCATACAATGTATATTAATCATATTCACCCCCTACTCCTCTACCTAACTCCTCCCCGATCCATTCCTATCTCCCTGTACTCTCCAACTTCATGTCTTTCTTGTTTGTTTGTTTGTTTGTTTGTTTAAATAACCCATTGCTTGCCATCTCTGCTGCCCATATACTGCTGGCATATGATCATCTACTGGGGTGTGGTCCTCCTACTAGTAGCCATTCCCTGAAAGAAAGAAAGAAAGAAAGAAAGAAAGAAAGAAAGAAAGAAAGGAAGGAAGGAAGGAAGGAAGGAAGGAAGGAAGGAAGGAAGGAAGGAAGGAAGGAAGGAAGAAAGCTGACTTCCCCCAGAAGCCACCAATTTCCCTCAGCTCCTAAGTTAAAGATGGGGCTTATGAATTCCTTTCCTACTCCATGCTAGAATGGCTTGATCTTGTTCAGACCTTAGGCAGGGGATCCAAGCTGCTGTGAACTCATTAGTCCTGTCATGGCCAGAAGACACTGCTTCACTCTGGTCCTCCCTGACCTCTGGCTTTCACAACCTTTCAGTGTAAGGAGCCAGACCTACCTAAGACTTCCTCAGAGACTCTGATGAAAAGACAAAAGGAGGTAAGGGAACTTTTGTTCTGTGTCCTTGTCCAGGAGTGGACTTGGCAAGACAGTACAGGACTGGAGCCAGTGCCTCAAAAGACTCTTGAGGTTATCAGTAATGCTGTACATCTCAATAGAGTTGCTTGGCATAAGTCATCAGCTTATGCAAGACCGCCCCCGTGGTCCCAGCTATGCTTTTTACCTCCTTTATTTCTCATCCTGGTCCTTCCACTCAACACTTTCCCACTAGGGACCCTGTCCCTATTGGTTTGAGACATTTCAGCCTTCTGTCTCATGGTGCTCTCTGAGCCTTCCAGGAAGGGGTGTGATGCAGATGTTCCATTTGTAGCTGAGCCCATCACAGACAATTATTCTCTGCATTCTGATGGGTTATGAGTTTCCGTGTTAACCGTCATCCACTGCACAAGTTCAAGTACCTACGTCTCATCCGTCTCATACTGAGAGCGTTGGATATTGTCTCTCTACCTTAATGAGAGGTGTGCACTTGTCGTCATCGCAGGCGTTAATGTTGCACTTCCTCTCTATTAGAAGAGTCGCCACTCCCAGATGGCCGTGTGCACAAGCATAATGCAGCGCAGTTCTGTGAAAATAAGAGGAATTTTTTAGGAAATATTGGAGACCTAGGTCGCAACACATTTATCCATATAATTTTTAAAAAGTAAATACAGCATAGTTAATTTTCTTCTGTTGGAAGATCATTTCTTTCCTTCCTTTCTTCCAATTCTGGGGACATAGATAAGTCCTGCCTCATTCAGGGCTGGTGCTTTATCATGGCTACACCCATGCTTAGGGTAGCCTGTCTAAGTAAAAGGAGAAAGCCCAGCATATTTAACTCAGCTTGGATTTGAATCCTACTCTAATCTGTTACCTACTAGCTACCTGTTACTTCTTGGGCTTCCTATGAGCGCCATAACTCAATTTCCTCATGCATATGATGGGGATTAAACACTTTATCTCCACAACTAGTGTAGTGCTCAATTCAAATTCAATTCAATTTAAATCTGTACAAAGTATTGCAAGTGTTTCCAGCTCAGCATACGACTGCTAACAAGTACAACATTTCAATGAGGTGAAATAGTAGAATTTTACCAATTCTGCTGACCTAAAGATTATGGTATGTGGGGACTGGAGAGGTAGCTCACCGGTTAAGAGCATTAACTGCTGCTCTTCCAGAGGTCCTGAGTTCAATTCCCAGCAACCACATGGTGGCTTACAATCATCTGTAATGGAATCTGATGCTCTCTTCTGGTGTGTCTGAAGACAGCTACAGTGTGCTCATATACATAAAAGAAAAAAGGGAAGAAAAAGAAGGAAGGAAGGAAGGAAGGAAGGAAGGAAGGAAGGAAGGAAGGAAGGAAGGAAGGCAAGAAAGAAAAGAAAGATCATGGTATGTGGGAGTGGGGGTGGAGAAGATGTTCGTGAGTGTTCGCGCATGCTCAGACTACTGAGTATATGGAAGTCAGAAGACAATTTGAGGAAGTCAATTCTCGTCTACCATATAGGTCCAGGAATGGGTTTTGTGGGGATTGGTGGGTTTCTGTGGCAATCTCAAGGATTGGTGGAATACTGTTTCTTGGCCCTTGACTTGGGCTTGGGGTCAAGTCATAGTCAGGATTTTTTCCTTTGCCCTTTTATTCTACATATTGGACAGTGTATCTATATACTCCACTACTTCCCATCTTCCTCTCGCAATAAAACATTCGGAGTTGATCATTCAGAGAGAATTCCTCTATTTCACAGTAAAACTCTTCCTCTGTCATAATCAACACACCTCTGTCACTTGTCTCAACTACTTCCCCCAAGTCCCCGCCAACAGCAACTTCACTTCCTGCTCCTACCTACTCCCAGGTTCTATTACCTGTTCCTCTTATCCGGGTCGTTGATACCGTTTACCCGGAACGTGAGGAAACGCTCCACTGTAGCTACAGCGCCAACACTAGCAGCCCGGTGAAGCTGTCCCACCGCGCAGTATCCAGTGAGGTATCTGGGCACTGCCTGGCTTTGACCACCAACACACCCAAAACCCAGGCAGGCTGCCCATGGGCTGGTGGAGGAGCAGCCTGGCCTAGCGTCTCTCCTCCTGGACCAAAAGATCCTTCGCATAGGGACGCCAAGCGGTCAGCCAGTCCCACCCTGGTCTGCGGCCCCTCCCACCTCCGTGTACAGCTTTGGAATAAAGCCAGCCACTTCTCTCCACCCCACCACGGGGGTCGACGGTTCGGTGTCCAACCAACCGACCCCTCTGTCGCCCGGCAACGCGGCTCAGCCCAGCACCCGGGTGCACATCTCAAGGAGCTTTCCAACCAGGAAAGTTGACAGTTCTGCGTCTGCCAATTGGGGATTTCAGTCTCCTACCTGCCGAACTCAAGCGCACTCTCTCAGGTGCGCATGTGCACACCTCAAGGACAGTTACAGCAAGGAAGGGTGGGCTTCTGCCTACCTCCTTTTTTCCGTCGCCTAGCAACGCCACTAAACGCAACTTGGTGAGCACCCACTAGTGACAGGGGCCTAGTCAACCCTGCAACCTGAGCGGGTGAAAAGCCTTGCTAATGCATCTCACCAGCAGACCTGCTTCACCTCCAAAGGCCAAACACTGAAGAGAGTTGGGTCCTTTGCGGCACTGCAGTTGGAGGTCCCCTGATCCAAACGCCAAGTGATTCCAAGTACCCGGAGGTGCAGCCCGATGGTTCAAAATGACATTTGTTATTTACTATTCCAGAAATAAACCAACTCTTGGGAGATGGAAACGAGATCAGGAGTTCAAGCTTCTCCTTCTCTACATAGGAATTTGAGGCCAGCCCGGCATACATGATATCTTCTCAAAACAAACAAGCAAACAAAATCCTAGAATAAAATAATGTAGGGAAAGGAAATATTGATTGGCCGGAGTGAAATCCTTCCCCTCGATCCACGGACAACTGGAGAAACAAAAAGAGGCATTTTAAGCCAATAAATGTATACGCTGTGTACTTGTATTTTATGAATTATGATATTTTAATGGATTCAAACTATGATATTTTTTAGCATTCCATTTTTCTGTAGGACATACATGGGGTGCTTTGCAGAAGTAAAATGACTTAAACCAACATGCTTATTACTTCCCTCTATAAGATAGACATTTAGAGAGATGGATGACTTTTCTCTGCTTTTTGTTGTTGTTGTTGGGTTTTTTGTTTTGCTTTGGGTTTTGTTTTGGAGTTTTGTTTGTTTTTTTGATTTTTTGTTTTTGTTATTTCTTAAAACAAGTACTTAATTCAATATATTGCCCATCTGGCCTGAAACTCTTGGTGGTCGTCCTGCCTCAGCCTCCCACACTACCATGACTGACTTTTTCCCTCTGGTACTAGGTGTATGCCTTGTACTGGTCAAACAAGTACTCGGTACCTTAAATACTCTTATGAAAACTTTGATGAAGGCCAGGGGATGCCACAAACCTTTAATCAAGCACTCTAGCAGGAAACTTCGACTGCTGATAGATATAGTCAGCAAAGTAGCACCCACAAAATGAAAAAGTAAAAATAGCCTTCCCACCAGACATGTGTCACAGGCCTTTGATCTCAGCACTCAGGAGGCAGAGGCAGGCAGATCTCTGTGAGTTTGAAGGCCAGCCTGGCCTACATAGTAAGTTCCAGGACAGCCAGGACTACACACACACAAAAAAACAAAAACAAAAACAAAAACAAAACAAAAAAAACTGTCTTAAAAAATATATAGTTTTGATGAAGGTCTTTTCTTTCTCAGATAACGTTAAGTAAATTATGCTAAAATCTGTAATCTTAGCATTGAAGAGGCAGAGACAAGATCAGTGCAAGTTTGAAGCCAGCCTGGTTTCCATAGCATGTCCCCAGTGTCTCACAAAAATTAAAACATAAAATGCATTCAAAATAAATACCACTGTGCTTAGGAATTTGTGGTTTGCTTGCTCTTTTTGTTTTGTTTTGAAAGAGCTGGCCTCAAACTCAGGGATCTACCTGCCTCTCCTCCCGTGTAGGAAACTGTATTAATGGGCTGGTTACTCCTGACTATTGCCTCTTTTTACCTGTCTTTGAATGTGTCAGTGACAGAAACAGTCAGTGGTCATTCATTTTCATCTCAAATCTCCATGTGTTGGGGCTGGTGATCAGAAAGACAAACTTGTAGTCTACCTAAAAATAGATATAATTTGATATAAAATAAACTTTTTGACTATGATATAAATCCATTTTATGTTGCCCTTAACCTTTTTCATTTCTTACTTCAGTCCTTCTCATGTGCGTGTATGCATGTACATGGGGGTGTGTGTGTGGGTGGAGGCCAAAGGACAACTTTACATGCTGAGTTAGGGTTCCATTACTACAAGGAGATACGATGACCAAGGCCACTCTTATAAAGGACAGCATTTCCCCAGAGCTGGCTTACCAGTTCAGAGTTTCAGTCCATTATGGCAGAAAGCACAGTATCATTCAGGCAGGCATGGCACAGGAGGAGCTGAGAGTTCTACATCTTCATCCAAAAGAGCCAGGAGCAGACTGTCCTTGGGCAGCTAGGAGGAGGGCCTCTCAAGGCTCACCTCCACAGTGACACACTCCAACAAGGGCACAACTACACCAACAAGGGCACACCTCCTAATAGTGCCACTCCCTGGGCCAAGCATTCACATGTTATTCTTAGAATTGTCACCTCCTTTGAGAGAGGGTCCCTCACTGACCTGGAGCTCACCAACTGGGCTAGACTGGCAACCAGTGAGCCTCAGAGATCTTCCTATTTCCTCCTTCCCAGTGCTGGGATTACAAATGCACATCACCTCAACTGCACTTTGCTATGGATCCTAGGAGTTGTGCTCAGGTCCCTGTTTGCAAAGCATTGACTGAGCTACCCCCTGCCAGCCCTACTATGTTTTTGCTGTTGTTAAGGATGTTGACCACTGTGTATTTATTTGACAACAATTTAAATCTTCTTCTGCAATCTAAGTGGCAGAGTAATTCCTCCCTTTTCTGGAGGCAATTTCTGAGTAAGTCCTTATATATTAAAATGTAAGAAGCATAAAATATGTTCGTCAATCATCCAACATTCTTTCCAGAACACTTTCAATCACGTGGTTTTTTAGTTCTTCATGACAACCAGGCAGAAAATAATCTCAAGAAGGAGCTAATTTCTTTTTACTATCTTGTGGCTTGTAGTGATTTCTAGTCCAGCTAGACTTATAAACCTAGAATCCCCAGGAAATCTGAACAAAACTCTTAAAACTTAGGCTAGGTAAATTCAAGCACCTGTTAAGATACGTATCAAAACGTATTCTAGACTCAAGATAATACCCAAGAAAGCAGAGGAAAAAGTGCACTGAGCACCCCCTTTCTGTATTTGAATCCCTATCTACCCAACAGCTGGGTGTGTGCCTCAAGTGTTATCTGAGTGACCACTAACTGCCAGATGGTTTTGTAAGTCCTGAAATTTAGCTGAGTAACAGACAAGGTCACTGCTGACAGGAAGTTTCGATTGCAGTGCTATAATTTGGCTTAACAAGCACACAAGAAGGGGATGAGAAAAATGCCTGGGACTGTTAATGCAATGAACAACATGCATGAGAGCTCAGGTGAAGAAAAGCTAGTAGGGGCAGTTTTAGACAGAGTGGTCCAGAGTGACTTCTGGGAAATACCATGCACTGAGAAGCAGGAAGTAACTCTAAGGAAGAAAAGACATTCCAAACAAATCCAGCATGAATGTCCTCAGAGGAAACTGAATTTGGTGCTTCTGCTTTGTTTTGATTACTTTCACGTTTGCTTTGTTTTAATCTGGTTGCTGTTATTGTTATTTTTCTGAAACAAGGACTCATATAGTCCAGGCTGGGCTTGAGTTCCTGATCTACCTATCCCTATAAACCTGACTTTGTTTGCCTTTTAAGGAAGGGGGCGTGGGCGTCACAGAGGATAGAGTGTAGAATTAGAAGATGTGGTACTAGGTTATAGGGCTGGCGAGGAGACAGTGGAAAAATATCACAGAATCCTGTAACTGTATGATCTACAGCAGTTATTTGACATCGCTGATACATTTCACACTGTAACTATGCACACTGTATTTACATGGCAAATATCACATAAGGCACCTACAATGGTTTATCGGGATTGTGTACTTAAGGCACATTAAGATATACAGAGCCCAGAGCACAAGCACACATGAAAGAGAATCTCATGCTACTATTTACAGTCATGGTGATAAAACTGTGTAAAGGAAGATTCACTGGGAGACTCAAGTGACCTTATAGTTAGAATATCTCTAGAATTCAGCAAAACAGATTTCATGTAGAAAGAAGAGGTGAAATTCCAGAAAACGTCCCTGAGTGTGACTGTACCCAGGAATCAACCCAGTACATTTTCCCAGTGTGAAGGCACCTGACAGACTACGGATTAAGAGGCAGGGAAAAGGGCAAGACCAAAGGTTAGACCTATGAGTCACAGAGATGGCGAGCACCTGCAGCCACTTAGGAATGTTCCCCAGAGGAGGTAGCTCCTCAGGCTGCAAGGCTCATGGCAGTTTTAACATTTTATTTATTCTTCAAAATGTTAATACAATGTGCATTGATCATATTTATTCCCCTTTCCTAACTCTCCCCAGATCCTCCACCACCCACTGACCCAACTTCATATTCTCTGTCTCTCTGTCTCTCTCTCCTCTCTCTCTCCCTCTCCCTCTTCCCCCTTCCTTCCCCCCCACCTCTCTCTCTCTCTTTCTCTCTCTGTCTCTCTTTTTCTCTTGTCTACCCTACTCCTGGGTGTACAGGCCTGCCCTGGTGTATGTTCAATATACCTAAGCAACCAATGTCAAGAGTTTGTCAACTATCAGTAGGGCTTCTGTTCTCTGTTTTGGGATTTGTGTCTGGCTCAAACTTGTGTAGGTCTTGTACATGCTGTCATAATCTATGAGTCCATTTATGTATTTGACCTGTTGTGTCTGGAAAACATTATTTCCTTGAAGTCATCTACAATCCCCTCTTACAACCCCTCCAATCCCCTGTTCATACAGACCCTCCTGTACTCTCCTGTACTTGTGCCCTCAGGACATACTCTTAGGTTGAAGTCCTTGATCCATTTGGAGTTGAGTTTTGTGCAGAGTGAGAGATATGAGTC